AGAACGCGGCGAGTGTCCGAAAATACGAACGCGGGGTCCGCTCTGACGAGCTCGTACAACGTAGTCACGATGATGAATGCAAATGACCTCGTCTTGATTCATCGCGCTTTCGACGGTGCCAGTGAAAAGGAAAAAAAAAACACAGAGACTCTCGCCAGAGAGGTGGCTCGAGACTTGGTATTTCGAGAATCTCGTAAGCCATTAAATCACCCGATACTTTGTTAGCGGATTTCTTCTGCGTCATTTTTTTTTCTTACGTGACACAGAAAGCGGGAGTCAGGCGCCGGCTAAATCGAGCTTTTTTTCCGCGAATCTGCATAAAGATCGTCCTGTCCGGTTGGCCGTACGCTCGGCTCGATACTGCGCAGCGAGCGGCGGCGGGAGGAATTATTTTGAGTGTATTACTCACGGTGCATCTGCTCGAAATAATTCGCAGAAATTACGTAGTCAAGATTTTCTAAGCGCCACTGACCCTTAAACACCGTATATAAAAATAAAACCCGCGCGCGAGGCGCATTAGTTATCACCCGCTACTCGTGTATCCACATCGTACGGCTTATACCAACGGTATTATACTACGTGTAAATTACTCTAAGCGTATTAAATATATTCTTAAAGATTAATACGAAGTATAAATCGTATCACGCTCTGTTTGCAACATGACCGAAATAAATGGAACGATACGATAGTCTCTTCCGGCAAACACGGTAGATTTTCATAATGTACTCAGCGTTAGATTAAACGTTTAATGAAGCACTTTTAGATACTTAAAATCACGGAAGAAGATTCTAAAAATATGATTTTTAATTAAATTCTAAAAGTAGCAAAAACGAATACGAAGCAACGAATTATATCTATATATATAATGTAATATATTTGATTACTTCATATTTTAATTTTTAAAACAAAATTTGAATGCGAATAACTGCAGCTGAGCAGATGAGAAAGGGGTGAAACAGAGTGAGAGAGCATTTCCTTTGCTAGGTTTAGCAGCGAGAGACCACAAAGAAAAATATACATTAGTAGACAACACTATATCCACCGCTCTTAGAACTCCGTCGACAGATTTGCGGCACGCAAACAGCGCAACGCTATAATTACGCTTTCGCCGACGGCAAATTAACTGGCGTACTTTCGACACAATGCGCACACGAACGATTGTTGGAAGTACGCGCATACATACGCGCATTGTGCGCGTGCATATATATATGTGTGTATGTGTCGCAATTTTGCTCTACGCCCACCTCGGCTCTGCGGGCGCATAATTGCATCGGACGACACGGTGTTGCGGGCGGTCGCAGTTAGTTTTCTTTTCGCGGCGGATATCACGCTCGGCCGTCCGTGAATTGGCGCGAAAACGACGACTACGGCCACTATGTATCCGCATTTTACGATTTCGCGGAAACAACAAGAACGACGAGCGGTGACACTTTGTCACCCTGCCAGAAATTCGTCGCTCCTTGACGGATAGCGCGTGTCGCGCGCATTTCTCGATGCACCGTGTCGTCCGTGTCGCTCGCGAAGGAATCGTGCGCGAAATAGACTCGCGGAAAAAAAAGAATCGCTGCGAACGCGCGAAACGAATGCGACGTCGATAATGCATACGAAGAAAGTTACGGATTGTAAAATTCGCAATAGCATATTTACAATAACACGCTCGAATTGCGCACTAGATTTTGAAATAGTATACACTTCTTCGTTTCGATATAATTATATACGATTTCTTGTCCACGGATACGTTCGTTCGTGTTTCACGTATAGTTCGACAAAGGTGCCTAATTCGATAAAAATAAAGCTGCCATCTTAATTTGACACGGGTGTAGAATCGCACCAACGCAAATTTCTGTACTTCCGCTTTCAACGCAGCTAAATCCTCATTCGCGTGTCTGTCATGATGCCAAGAATTCGTCGTCTTCTGATCTTTCGCTATCGCGGGATGTGTACAATGTGTGAGTATATGCGTACGTGTGTGTACGTGTGTCAACATAATGGGAGCGAGCTCACGACGTGCCGACGTTCGGGAAACGAGCTTTCGTGCAATAATGACGTCAATCGTAAAAAAAAATCGTAAAACCTTCGTATCCAGTTAACGAAACGGTCCGGAATATACCTTACGATCCGCCCCACGGACCCTCAATGAGATAAAATGTAACTGCCGAATATGCGCTTGCCTGAAAAAAAAAAAAAGATAATAGAAAAAGCTATCAAAGGTCTGGCAGTTTTATAGCCGTCTGAAAGTTTCGACTTCGACCGCCGTCGAAATGGAAATTAGGATTACACCGCGTGTAATCTCTCACCGTGTGCTTATAGATTTTAAAATTCGTCGGATTTTTCTCGAGCTCAACGAACCGTGTACCTTCGCGAGAAGGAGTTTTTCCTCAAAATTGAATCTCACGGAGATAAATGTCAATGAACTCACTCGTGCAGGCTCGATATTGTGAAATTATGGGATCGCGCTGAAAAATTGAATGCGCTCTCGCAAAACGCGAACGTTTCTCAGGTGCTCGATCAAGTGATTCGAATGAAGTGAATCGCGAGGAATCTCCTGAGAAACCTGGGAGTAACGGAAAAAGAAGAATGAGAGGAAGGGTGGGGTAGAGAACGGAAAGGATGCAGGCTGACGAGGTTTGCACTTTCTCGTAGATGACGTTTCTATTCCCGGGAATTCACCACGCTACGCTCGCAACCATTTCTGCGCAGTAAGGTCATTAGCGAGTTCTCTCCCGACAGCCTGGTCTATTTTCTTTATTTCCTGCTTGCTCGCGAAATGCCGCACGGCACACGGCCGACGTGAATATCGCGCGAAAGAAAACAAAGAGTGGTTCCCTTCGTTATTGCCCCTTGCATCTCGCGAGGTTTCAAGACTCTCTCACATCGCGAAAACAAACAGAGGCAAAATAGTTACTACGATCTTTTAAGAATCACCTGTAGATTTTTGAATAGTGAAACGCTAATAAAGGCTTTCGTAACATCTCCATAAATCCAATCTCGTTCCGAGAAACGTATGCAGGGCACGAGATAATCGCCGAAGTGACGGGACCAGTGACTCATCGTGTTTCGTTTACATCACGTATATCTCGCGTCACTACGAAATTATGTTTACTACTAGCTCATGATGAAACAGCGCTTTTTTTCTATTAGTATTTACGACATCTCAACCGTGATAACCGGAAGAGATCGTATGCGAGAATCGTATGCCGCCGAATTAAGAAATGCGAGATGAATTCTCAGAAATTCGTTTCTCAACTAGCGCGACCACGTGCTTGGCGCTTTAAATATGCGTCGCAAATAATAATACATCGTTCGATCGTCGAATTCACATTTCGACGCCTTTACGTTTCGGAGAAAAATTCAAGTGACCACATTTGCAATTCCTAGATTTTCAGAAAAAACTTGAAATAAATATTTATGAAATAATTACTAATGTTCTCCATATAAATTTTATTATTTATAAATATTATTAATACATAATGTACATAAATTCAATTTGAATTATCCAACTTCAATCTCGTAAAAAAGTTTGTTAGAGTTAAAACATAAAACTTTCTTTTAGTAATTTGAAATAATTCCAAATAGAAAATTTATAAATTGTATTTAATTAAAATATAATTATAAAATATAAAATATTAAATATAAATATATTAGCTTTCTATTCTTTTCAACAATCTTCTTGGGATCAACACGTTTTTAATTAATACTATAGTCAAGAAACGTTATAATATTTATACTATAATACTGTTATGTAATTATTATTTTATAGTATGTTAGCTAGCACGTATGTTAACTCAAGACCTTTTCGAAAGAGGAAATAATATTAGATACGCGTGAAAAGCTTATGTTTCACGAAAACGCCATCCATCGAATTACGTTATGAAATTTCAGAATCTACAATAGGAGCGTTAACAGATTCTGACAACACAGGTTGCTGCCAGCATTTCTGGAATTGCGAATATAACGTGAATAATGTAAACGACATGTACAACGTATCTCCCAAGTGAAAGCAGATGCGTTTGGCCGGCCGACAAATGTAGGTACATACGTTCAACAAAAGGCCGTTGTCCCGAAACAACGAAACAGCGATCTCGAGGCGAAGAGTTTCTCAATGACTGTTTTGACATTTCGGTCATTTGTGACATTTAGTCAGACAACCGAATTTTCTACTAAAGCCAAAAGAAGTCCCATTCAACTACTCTAAAGCACTGACACTTAAACAGTTTTGATTGGAATTAAATCTGATGATACCTACATCTACTAGATAAAAAGAAAAGTCTCGCAAGTCACTACAAAAAATTATGAGTTACTAATAAATTTCCGTATTTCTTTCATAAAAGTCACTCATTTTACGGCCTACATTTTACAATTACAATTACTTTTTACCCACGCGAGTTATTATCCCGAACAAACGCACTCAACGCGGCATGCAACGTGGCAATTTAATTTTCTCGAAAGCCACTATACACACGTGTATAGCGCATTAGGATGGTCTATCCTGACACGTGGTAAACCGATTAAATAGGACAAAGGTTCAATTCTTTCACAGCGATGGGAATAAATGAGCACGGTGCCATGAGGTATGGAGCCCGGGGTCGTCGTATCTCTGACGGCGATCAATGACACGGCGATGGCGACCTTTTAATCGAAACAATATCGCGTCTCCATCCAATTCACGCCCGACGAATCCTTCGCCGTGTTCACCGGGCGTGACGCCTCGCACAAATTGCCGTTTCATTAATTTCATTGATTCCGGCCGGCCCGTTATTCCGGAATTTGCGCGCGCGCATCCCAGCTCAACAACGCCCGGCGTCTCCCTCGAGAGAAGCCTTTATTGTAATTTCTCTCTCTCTCTCTCTCTCTCTCTCTCTCTCTTTCTCTCTCTCGCAAACGCGAATTCCGAAAGAGATGCATCAAAAAATGCAAATTTCAAAATAAAACAAACAGATACGATTCACATATAAAAATAATAATTCCTTTTTTTCCTTAAACTGGGTACAATCGAGCAATTCAATCGAAAAATCAATTTATTTCGCTTTTAAAATACATATATCGGTTGCATATTAAGAACTTCCGAGGTGGATACATATTCGTCATTATAGTAAATAAAACTTTCGCACGATAACGTCATCGTTATTATTGTCAGATAAAAATTTCATTTTGCGTGAATAAAGCAATTTGCTTCCCTCAAACTTCCGTAGAAATGACGTTGCCGGGAGTATAGTGCATCACGCATGTTTGCGGACACGTGCGCGCCGCGCCGAGAGGAAGGGCCGGGGGAGGATGCTCCACGGAGGAGGCAAAGTTCCAGGAAAATTTCGATTTCTTCGTATCGCATGCGGTTCGATGCAGCGCGGTCTTTACGAACCCTCTCCTCTCTGCTGCCCTCTCGCCTGCTCCCATTTCGCTTCCACGAAACCTCCATAATGCCACCGTGCATTTACAACGCTCTCAGCTCCGAAGATGAATACACGTCTCATTCTTCTCTCCCCTTTACAAGAGGAATACAGAGCGCAACCGCCGTCCTAAAAATTTCGCGGATCCCGAGTAAAGAAAGAACGAATTTCGACAAATAAAAGCGGGACGTAAAAAGAGATATCTGAAAAGTGTCGTTGCACACCTATACATTTCGGGATTAATTTTTTGGGAGTCGTTGCACGTGTGCGCGCGGATATTCCGGGAAAAATATATCGAGATGGTGACATCTAAGTGCTATCAATTTTCAATGTGTCGTCCCACTTTTGTTATTTCGAGATTTTTATTGTTTCGGATCTCCCGGTGTTAACATGTCCATCGATCCCGATACTAGAAAGACTGGTCGGCGCGCTATACTGCGCCAAATGCAAATTATTGCAGGTGGAAAATCGGCGATGATTTATCGACAGGAAGCTGTATTTAAAAATTAATCGTGTCGTATGGTGTACACGCGAGGGGGGTTATTCAAGCAAACGATAGTGCGTCGATCATAGTGTCATTTTAATAGCATTGATCGGCGTGTCTCGATTCGATCAAATCGATCGAGAATCAATCTACCCCCCGTACCTGATCTGAATACGTCACTTATTTTGGAGTGTTTGCCGATGGAATTAATGGATATAAACAACCGCAGCGAGTTAAACATGCATTAGAGATATACGGGGTATAGTCCACGGGAGAGAGGACACGGAGAGAGGCGTAATAAATAACAGCGTTTAATGAAGAGGGATAGAATCGATGGCCATTACGTTAATTCAATTATTTGTTAAATGACTATATCGAATATCCTCGATATTCGATGTATTTATTCAAAACCGTCTCTTCCTGTATGGTAGCAAAGACAAATTGCTAAAACTAATACTTGATTCAGCTGATCCAAACGATGAAACAATAGTCATATTATTAAATTTAACTTTTCAACTATTCCTTATCGCAAAAAGTATTTCGGAAAACAGTAATTTATACTAAACTAATAATTCATGAAAACAAAAATGTGACTCTCTTTCTCTTTCCCTCTAATATAAATAAAATGTCAACTTCGTATCACAATAATGTCTACTCATTATCATATATTTCGCTTTTTAAGCATACCACCATTCCACGTCATTCCTTAATATTAACATAAAATTATTATCAATTGATCTTAATACCTTGTATTCAATGTCAAAATATTTTATAATTACTAGACGGAAATAAGTAAGACACAATATAATATGAATTATTAAAAATCCGGATAAATCTCATTTACATTATCATAAAGACTGATCGATGTAAAAGGGATAAATGACAAACGTTAATGATTCGATTAACATTTCAGAATTCATGAAATACGAGCGGCAACACGGCGCGGAATTAACGACGTGTAAATTAAAATCTCTTGACGCGAGAGATCGTGGTTCTTCGAAAACTCTGAGCAGATCTAATACGACAGTCGTTACGACGGCGACGCGTACCATTCGCGACAGCGCTCGAGGAGAGGAGATCGAGAGCGATAGGATAAAAAAGAACGCATGGACCGCCAGCGCAGTTTCTTGAATCGGTCCGGAATAGCGAGGAGGGAACACACGTGTCCCCGGACGCTAGCGCGGAAGACCCCCTCTCGTTTTGCATTTATGACATCAGCGACTAATGTTCGCATCTCGACCGAACCTGTCCCACTTCGTCCGGTGAGTAACGCATGACATCAAGCCCCATTAGGCACACCTACCAAAAGCCCGATTGCTCGCGAGGTCCATTGTGATTATTATAGATCCATGGCGTCGCCATGGCGAACTCTTATCTCTTATGTTTTTGTATCTCCGACCACGCGTATACAACCTATAATGCCGGCGTTACACGAAGTCAAGAGAGTCAAGGGAGACAGCTAAGATTCGTATCTCTTTCAAAAGTACTCTTTCAAAAATAAATTTCCATAAAACGGAGAAAAAACTTCTCGCCACTAATAGAGGAAATTTTTCTCTTGTTTTTTTTTTAAATTTTTTCTAAATTAGACTTGCGTATATACAACAATTAGAACGGCATAAAAGGTAACTCGTTAAAGTCAGCGAGAGAAACTTGCGATCACATCGTGATTCGTATCTATGCAAATTATAAAAAATATCGTACACAAACGTTACCTATGTCTTTTTTCTCGTTCTTCGAATAATCCAAACAAGAATTTCTTCGAACTGACGGGTTATCGTTATCGGGCACGATCCAAACTGTCAAGGAACATTTCCGTATATCAGTTCGATGATAAGACGAGTAACAGGCTCGGAAAGCTGACACTTCTTCCTAGATATGCATCACGGAGGAATACATCAACAAACAAAATCGGATATATGCAAATGCTATTCCGACACTTTGTTGTTGTAGCCTCGTTTTTATTTACCGAGAAAACAACCTTTCGATAAGAAAATAGAAAAATTCTGTTGAATAATAACAAAACGATTCTGACTGTCGTTTTACTCGAACGTATTTATCGTTGGACAATCACAAAGCAAAAAGTATATAATAATTTCCGCTGCCAATATTTAATTTTAGCTCATTTCTGATAATAAATATTTTGTGTAATCGTTTATGTAAAATAATTAGATAATATTCTTATTAATTGTTATTGCATTTAATAGAAATCGATATTTTCTACGAAATCATTTACATGGAAGAAAATGTATTCTAAAAAGAATTAATTTTGTTATGGTGATTCTTTTTTTAGACTAATTGAAGTAGAGATAATATAGAAAATGGCTAGTTCATTCACGCTTTTAATATCGAGGACAGTTGTCAAGCGTGCGACAAATTGAAAGGCCGGTATCTCGATTATTGCGTTAGATTATCCCGCGTCTAGCAGAACCTGTTCCGCCATAATCGGTGAGTAACGCATGACATCAACCCCTATTAAGCGCTGTTGCATTTATATCGATTTATGCAAAACTTTCATACGGCCTCGAGAGACGCCCCTTTATCGGTACGAATCAAGCTGCGTAAAAGACGGCAATAAGGTCAGTTGCAACTATGTATAAGTAGAAAGTTGCAACTAAGAGTCTAATTAAAATGTATGTTCCTTTGTGATATTTATCGACATAAGTATAAATTCCTCCGTTCGAAAATAATAAATATAATAACATATCTGTTGTTCAGAAAAATAATAAATTTGATAATAATAATTATTGCATCAATTTACTGAAACTTCAATATATATAATTATATGTTTATGACATTAATAATTATAACGTATCGAGAATTTTGAATTATATTTGTAACAAAATTCCAAAGAGTGAAGATAATTTAGCAATGTCTCGGGCAATTAAAAATAATATGCATGCATTGTTGTATCTTGTTGCGAAAATTATTTTTGTTTAATGCAGAAAATACATACATCTAAAAATATATCTTTTTGATATTTCCGTAAATTCGTTCTGTTCTTGAGAGATTCATAATTATCAGAGATAGAAATTAATGTATTTATATAATGTCGTGGGTTGATATATGTATACCGATATATATTGATATACATATTGTATAAAATGCCGCTTATGCATATGGTAATGAGCCAATGACGCATACCTTATGTCGTATCCCGCGGAATTCTTTGCATTAAGTTATCAGGAATTATTTTTGCGCACGATTGATCGAACGGCCGATTCACTTCCATTCCGAGGCGCGCATCGATCTTTTTATGCAACGCGTATATGCAAAGCGGGCACGCGCGTCTGAATCGCGAATGAACGATGAAAAGAGGAAGCTGTCGCTATCGTCGATCAGCTTCTGCTTCTTCATCAGGACAAACTCCATTTTTATGCGCGCATACCAATCCGTGAATAGCAAGCGATTATGCCTGTGTAAAATAAGTCAGTCCACGAAGAGACATCTTCGACAATACGTCCGCGTTTTACCGCGGATACAATCCGATCCTCCGTCCTTCGACTCCGCGATTATCTTAAACCTGAAAAATTTATCTCTTCCTCCATGAACATTTTGACGTTCTTTCTTCGAGTTTCTCTCATCGATCACGCAATGCAACGCGCCCGCTCTCGTTTCGCAATGTCAATTTTTCACGCGAGCTTCCGAGGTGTTGCAGTGTGTTCGAGAAAAAAAAAACTGTTTTACTGTTCCGCGCAGACCGATTCCGGGAATAACTTAAAAAGTCTCGTGCGAATTCTCCCAGTACACCGGTAGAAAAGACGAATATAACTCCTTCGAAAAATGCAGCAGTCGCGAGAACGAGGGAAGAGAATAGATCGCATGTGTGTATTCTCTGCAATTTGAACGTCAGCTTGAGGGCGTACGAACGATATGGTTTTACGCCATCCCGACACCCGGAATGTGGGAACGTGATTCCTCGCTTCCCACGATTCTTATTTCGGAGACACGACACGATCGCTTGTAAAGTCGAACTCTCCTACGTGCCTCTCTCTTTCTCTCTCTCTCTCCCATCTCTCATCTCGGAGATGTTCTTTAATTCTCCAGTAACAGATTCCGTACATTCTAACGTTCCAGTACAAATGACAAAAACATAAGTAATTCTTAGAACAGAGGTAATATACGAATAAAACGTAATAATTACGCGAATGCTTTTTTAATTTATGAAACTTGTCTTTTCGGCAAAAAATTCTTTCCTTTTTTCTCTCTGTTAAAAATTAGATTTATTTTTTGTTTATTATAAATAATTCGTCACGACAATGAAAAATATCTAAATAATTATTTCGATATCCTACACTTCCTACAATTCCTACACTTTAATACATGTTCCCTATATGATTAAATTTACACATGTCCAAGACAAATTTGATTTAATACATTTGAACTTATGTGAAATATGTTTCTTTCTATAGAATCAATAATTCAAAGAATTGCACGCTTTTACGATTTGCAAGCATATTAAAGTCGGAGAGCTTCCAGGAAAGTTTGTCACAACAACCACAGTTGCTTCCGCAATGAGCCAAACATCGTCGTTTCGAGGTAAACGAGGGAAGAAGGATAAGATAACCAAAGAAGAAGCGCACTGTTCGCGATTTCGACGTCACTTTGGCAGGGCGCCATACGCTCTCTCGTGCCGTCTCGGCACGCAGAAGCGTGGGAGTGGAATTCCCTGATTCTCACGAGCCTAATTTTGGGATCGCGCCGCTGCTCCCGATCGGCCGGAAGCTGAAATTACAAATTTGGAGCGATGGCCCATTTTTTTTTTTCGAATGTGGTAACTTTCGGCAAATCTGTTCCGGAATCACCGATCTTCGTTTATTCGCGTCTTCGAGGAAACGACCACGACTTTGCGCAGGATACGTGTCACGT